AACGGCGTTACGTAACAGCCCTTTCTGTCCGTCCACAGTACAGCTGAGCGTGTGGAGAGAGCTCTTTTGTGTTAACATAGCTCACTTTTAAGGGGGCCTCTGACTGCGACACAGAGACCCCCTGTGTGAAATACATCATAGTTCAACTTGGTACCACCCCACCTTTGTTTAGTTTTCACAGGGGGGAGACCGACAGAAGCTGGAGGCTGATTCAGATGAACTGATTGTTGCTGCTCTGGTCCGCTGGAGTCATAAAGCAGTTCGGGAAAAATCTATTTTATACTAATTAAAAATAAGATACTGTGTCTACTAGAGTCAGACACATGTGTTGGGTCACATCCATTTGTTTTTTCCAACATCTAAAGAGATACAAGTTTCGTTATAATCACAGTGACATAAAATCAGCTGTCCCTTAACTGTTTTATTTATACCTGTAATTTAAAAGTTTGACAATGTTTCTTGTAAATAATATTTTCAAATTGGTTGGCAATATTCAACTTTATACTATTCAGAAGGTGTTCAGGGTCACAGCTTTAGCTTGGGCTTAATTTAAGAGAAAGATCTGTTAGGAAGAACATTTTCTGTAGTTTTCAGCTCTCAAAACAAAAAATAGTTTAGTACTGAAACAAATGTATCTAAAATATTATTCCTTAACAATAGGGAACTTTTCAACAGTTGCGGGAATACACTTATTTTCTTTCTTTCCGAGAGTTAGATGAGAGGTTTGACAATCTAATTGCTGTAAGGCACGTTAAATATATAACTGGAGCATTAATATTGATATTAATTGCCAAAAAAGTTGCAGTATTTATTCAAAATAGAGTATCAACATACACATACATCTACATGTTCAGAACATGTTTTGATATCATATATCTAATCGCACATTAGCATAGAACCAGTAAAGCTCATTGAGTAACTTCATCAGGTTGACTGAAGTATTAAAACCTTATGGACGGCTGAGTCATCCAGTAGCGAATTCCAGCCGTCCTCCATTGTTGGTCTGTCTCTCGTCTTCTGTCTCTACGGAGCGTTTGGAGGGGGTGGGAGTATTTTTTTATGGTGGTCTGCACAGTTGTTGAGTGGGTGCAACATTCCCAGGTGGCATGTGGTGACAAGTCCATCAGGGCACGCCTGTTGTCAAAAACAAACAGACCCCCTACATAGCGAGGGTCAAGGTTAATGCTGGGACCTGTCCCGCCCAAACAAGAGCCTCAAAGCTCAGCCAGAGCCCCAGGAGGCTTCAGAGGGACCTGATGATTGTGGAATAAGGACTTGCTGTGCTCATCATCCAGAAGGTCATGCCCCCCGCCCCAGATCTGCGGTGATGTGAAGCCTTTTGGGAGTTTATTGTTCTGGAAGGTATTTTAGATACACCCAAGAGTATTTGGTGGGAGATTTATGTTTCTGTGTGTAATGGTGCAAATGGGATGAATCCTCTTTCCTTTTCTGTGTACTCCTGCTTCTGGTTCATCAAAATGGTTTGAACGGTGAGGGCGTTTATTTGCTGGGATTTCCCGGAATCTTGACTGATCATTTTAGTGCATTAATAACACCTGTTAGAAAAAGTTTATACAAAGTCTCTCAGGTCTGAGAATTTGGAGTCTCAAGAGACAACCAGAATATGTCTGAGATCACATTGTAGCCATTTCTGTGTTCTTCAAAAGCTTGTTTAATTCTCGTCCTGGTGTTACTGTTATGAGAGTTGGTCTCATGTCATTTGTCAGATCATGATGTGTCAGTTTACCAAGAATCCCCATTTGGAGAGTGTGAGCTTAAACCTTAAAAAGGTAATAGTTGTATCTGTTGAGCTACTCCGTCTTACTGTACTTACTACAGGACAGGCAAAAACGACACATACACACAATAGTTTGATGCTATGACAGTACGTATATATTTTTGAAAAAAGTTAAATGATGTCAAGAGTTAAAACAAAACGTATATGATTAACATGATCTTAAGCAATTAAAATAACTTGGTTTACAGTCCAAATACACATTAATAAATGTAATTAGAGTTGTATGTATACCCCCTATCTAACCAGAATGGATCCCTTATATCCTGTGTTGTAATATCTTTCAGTGATTTGTTTTTTTCCAAAGAATTTGGATTTGCAATGTTATTTTCTTTGAAAACTTACATTCAGATGGACTATCTTTTCAATCTATAGTTATATTTTCCCAACACAATATTTGTATTTATTATGTGGTGGAAATGTCCTCCTAAACCTCCAATATAGTGTTTAGAGGTGCACATTCAAAAACAAACCAAAGTGTAATGTACATTTTGGATACAAAATTGCAACATATAGATGAAAGAAAATCAAATGCAAATAATCTTTTTCTTTCCCATTACAGAATATAAATAATGGTGAGTGTTCATCAAATCCATTTGTGTTCATAGAGAATTGTAACATTGTGAAGCAGGGACATCTAAAAGCCTTTTTTATTATAAGGAGTGTTTTTGCACGGCTCTGCTCTGAGGCATCTCTTCCTAAAAAGGCCAGGGATGATTTCTGCTCTTGTGTGTTTATACAGTGTGGTGAACGCTGCAAGCTGTCATCTTCCCACTAACTATCATATAGTCCGTGTGTGAGAGGATTGAATACTCCCTTTAATACTGATTATTTACAATGTTGGGGTTCATCCGAGGATACAACGGAAGTAGGGCTGAGATCAGTGTAATGAATGCCTGTTAATGGTTTTGGAAATGAGAGCATTGATGCGTTGTCTCCCAGGGATGCAGGGGGTCAGGAAGCAAGTTAAGAAGAGAAAAGGGAAAAGGAAAATAAATACACAGAGCTCCTGGTGCTCTGGGACAGCTCAACTCAGAGGCTGCAAGACGTTTTAAAAGGTTTTTAGCTTGGTGTCCCCGGGGGACCTGTTTGGAATCGCTCCCATTTTCCCTCATCCATTTAGGGCCTATTTGTGGAGGTTTCCAGCTGGAACATGAGTCCCCTGCCTGTTCTGCAGGTCGGCTTATTTACCGCCGTTTGTATAAACACAGTGCACACGCAGTCCCACGCTAACTAGCAAACACACAAGTTAGAAGACATTCAAATGAGTTTCCTGTTTTTCCCATTACCATTATCAATAGCCTGCAAACAAAAACATTATTTGTGTTCGTCTGTGTGACAGTTTGATTGCTTTTTTTTTTAATGTGTTTGTGTCTTGATTCAATCAGCCTTTCCTTGGCATTTTAAACGGGGACGTCTCCTAAATCAGCGGTGCTGGCTGAGCACAAAGAGGCCCGGCGGAGCAGTGGGAAGTGTTTCACAGACACTGTTCTGGTGGCCCTGGTGTTCCTTCTGCATGCTCCACTGATGCAGCTCAGATTAACATATGTTTGTTCTCTCTAAAGCCCTCCCCCTGCCCGTCCTTAAAGGGGAACACAGATTCATATTTGAATTCATTTCATTGGTCAAGGGCTTCCTCCCAAACTAAACTTAAGGCATGCAAAGTGCAGCTTGTCACGCCAAAGTGTAAACTACTGAATTATTGTCCGCAGTTAAGTTTTTTACATTTTAACTCGTTTTTAGCCAGAGATTAAAGGTAGTGAAGTACATTTACTCAAGTACTGTACTTAAGTACATTTTTAGGGTACTTTTAATTAAAGTCTTTCATTACTTCATACTTTACACATTTTAGAACCCAAGATTATACTTTTTACTCCTCTGTATGTACTGTATTTGACTTCTTCACTTGTTACTTAATAGATCCAATTTATTGGCTAATATGAAATATAAATCAACTAATAAAAAAGCATTGCCATCATTTATAGGTTAAGATATGCAACAGCAGCATATAAGTAATACAAATGAGCTCCACCGTTACCAGCTGTGATGAACACATTAAAGGGGCCCTAATTATTTTACGTGTAAAAGAGTATTTCTTAAATGAGTTTTTGTTTCTTTTACTTAAAAGTAAAATATCTGAGTACTCTTTCCACCTCTGGTTTTGATTAATAACAGTCTCCATTGTAGTTACAATGATTTAAAGACAATCCACAGACAATCCCTTCCCTAATTCTTTTCACATCAGCTGTTGCCATCCTTGATTAGATTTGGCTTTGTGATCATAGATATCGTGATGAAATAGCACATGAGGAACAGTGATATTAGATTGTTAGGACACAGTCAACTTATTGTCTCCTTTTTCTGCAATCGGATTGGACAGTACATCATCTGATTGTCATTGTTTTATAAAGCAATACATTTTCTATTAATGACACAGTTAAAGCTTGTGTGTCATAGACTACATTTGATGACTGGAGGTTCACCGTCTTCCTGTCTGGAACCATTGTATCTCATTTCAGTGTGTAACCCAACCATTGTACTACCACAATTTCATTAGCTGTATGCGGTCCCCAATTACAGCTATTGGTTGCAGTGCGTCCACTTTCCCTACAGTAGAAGCGACAGCCTAGCCAGCCCTTTCAATGATTCTTCTATATACCTAATATTGCCACACACTCTTCCATAATAAAATACACTGCATGCTGAAGGCAGACTGCAGCAAAGCAATGGCCCGGGTACCAAACGTACCTTTTTATATACTGATATCTGCTGGTAGTGACAGTGTTTTTTATAAAGAAATTGTCAAAATGTTCTTAATTCAACTTCTTAAATGTGAATATTTCCTGGTTTCTTTACTCCTCTATGACAGTAAACTGAATATCTTTAGGTTGTGGACAAAAAAGACGTTACTTTGACAAAGCTATTTTGGCCTTTGGACAAACAATGCTTATCATTTTTCACAATGTTCTGATCATGAGTTTTTCATGAGCTCTTCAATAAATGTCAAAATACACTCACGCTTATTTACCTTCTTAACTGCTTCGTACAAACATCAGTATTGATTAAACTGTCTGTGACATGTAAATTGTCTTTTGTTGCTGTACCAAGCGTCTTTGTTTATCTTCAGGTTAAAGTATCATTCATATCAGCAGCTTTCCATGACAACACTGAGTTGAATATTTGTATCCCTGTGTTTCTTCTCCAGGGCTCTCCAGAAGGGGGCGGCGTGAGACCGAGCACGACTCCCAGTAAGTAATCTCAGTCTGGAGTAGTTTCAGTGCTTTTGGTTGAATTGAATGCTGGTGAAGCACTCAGACCTGTACTCAAGTACTGTACCTAATAAGAAATGTTAGATACTTGTAACTCCCTAAAGTCTTTTGACATCATGCTTCTTTATGCTTTTAACTCTACTACATTCACTTTAAATATTAAGTACTAATATTTTTGCAGATTTACATTATTAATTCAAAATAATGATCAACTAATAAACCATTATATGTTTTTATAGCGTAAGCTACCCAGCAGAATATCAACTTTTAATTCAATTAAACCCTACATTTACCATGCAGGGAAGTGATGAACACGTTAATGCATCAATAATTATAGAACAATCGTTTATTATATATGGTTCTGTAAAGTACCAAACTGCAAAAATTACTACTTTTAGTTTTAGTACTTTAAGTATATGTTGATATACTTTTGTACTTTTAGTGCATTTTGAATGCAGAACATTTAATTGTAATAGAATAATGTTATACTGTTGTATTACTTTTCTTAAAGTGGACCTATCATGCTATATTTGAATAATATATTGTAGGGCCATACCTATATAAAACATGTCTGTGAAGTTTCTTTTTCAAAATACCAAACAGATCATGCATTTTAGCCATGCCTCATTTCGCTCTATTTGCTCTATTCCAGCCCTGTCTTCACAAGGGCTGATTCTGTGGCAAATGAGCTGCAGCTGACCACGCCCCCCTGCAAAGGAGGGGGGTGAGGCACGAGCGTCATGTTACCATGCTGTTACCATGCTGTTACCATGCTGTTACCATGCGACGCAACCTCTCATTCCCCTGATAGGTGGAGAGTTGCCCATATAGGCGGAGCACCCCGTTTCTGACGTCAGAACAATTTCAAATCTGTATCAGTCTGTATCAGCTCCGTTGCAGCCCCGTTTTTAGAGATTTGGGTATGGAGGAAAAGAGAGAGGGTTGTGTTTTCTGACACTTGGTGAGTTCCCTGGAACACCGGGGACACATATTCATGTATAAAAGACGTACAAAAGTGCATTTTGCATGATAGGTCCCCTTTAAGTAAATAACGGAGTACTTTTCCACCTCTTCATCCATTCACACAAGCAGACACAAACATGTTAATTTAAAGCTTTTAATGGAATGATGTATGCTCTCTCTACATCTTGAATTCCTTCCATCAACTTCTAGATTATGAATTGAATGAGATTTGTATGTGTGTGTTTTGTGTTTGTATTAAAGCCCCACGCGGTCCTCGATCAGTCTCCGCTGTCCGGATCACGCCTCTGAAGACCATGAAAGGCTCTCCTGACCTGATTCCTGCCGCAGGTTAGATATCCCTTCGCCTCATCAATCTTTCAGGGTCTACAACAGTGGGACACCTCACACTCTCATAGAAAACACGCAATGACACTCTTAAAACTCACTTGTTAACAACGTGGTGTCACTTTAATAACCTGTGTTGAGATGGGGCGATCTCCAGCTGCTCCACATCCAGCTCTGTATTAGTTTTACAGGACAGGAAATTAATTTGATGGCCTGGTTTTGATGTTACAGTTCTATTTCGGTCATTTGGGGCATGAGGTAGCAATAACTTAGATTTCCAGCAAACCAAATATAACAAGAACGATGAGGAGCTGCGGAGATGATGCTCTTATTTTTCATTTTCTTCAGATTTGGACCCCAGCAGAGTGTGCAAAGGGAAAGGAGTGGTGACTCTTAGGGCCACCCTGGTCCATATAGACGAGGAGGGCTGCATCAGCCGAGAGCCAAACGTCATCACAGCGCCAAGTAAGTCCGAGCGAATGCCACAGCTGCTTCATAACAACTCTCCACATGATGAAAGAATATTTGTGGGACAGTAACAGTTGCACGGCCGTGTGAAAACAGGGCACGTCACTGTGCGATGTGGACACACTCTGTGAACGTTGCCGTAATTTAAAAAGAATGCCATCATGTCGTTAGAATTCCCCACATGCCTTTCACAGGTCTGTTTGGATGTCGGGATTATATTAGTCGTCATGTTTTGAAGTGTGTGCTCGGTTGGTGGGCTTAAAGGCCGATTGCTCATATTTTCATGCGAGTGTCAAAGGGCTTTATTGTTGTGGCCTGCCCACTGCACTTTGGAGCAGGGGGCCGCGACTGTGGGCCTGTTTGTTACATGGAGCACATTGGAACCAGACTGGAGGCCGGCCAAGGCTTTTGGGGAGATGCTTTAATTGTTGTAGAGAATATAAAGGCCATCGGAACAAACAGCCTTTGCAGCTCGCTGAATAGACTCTTTGTTCTGACCACAAAGTTCAGAAAACTGTGGGAGTATCTTTTCTTTTTTTCCCTTTCCTGGGCATATTAACATCTCTGTGCATGGAAACCTCCAAGCAAAGCATTCACGCCCTGCGGAAAGAAATGGAGATTTATTTGATAGCTGTTATGGTTTGAGTACTTTTTAGTGTCATCCTAAGTGATTTTATTCCCGCTGCGCTGGCTGTCAAACTGAGAATGTTCTGGACTCTTTTCAGGTGACTGGACAGGCCAGATTAATGGAGACAGCTCTAAAGCAGGATTGGCAGAGGGAGGCAGCAACATCACAGCTGATTTACCACCTGTAAATAACACTCAGTGCAAGGTACGTTTACTTTCACCCAATAGGATCTTACTATAAGAGCTGTGTGATCTGTTTACTTTGAGGTCTTTGTATTAATTAAACAGCGTACTTTCTGTTATTTTCAGGCAAATTCACCAGAGAGCATAAAAGAAAACCAGGCTCTATGGTCCAGTGATATCCAGAACTGTGTCTCGTCTCCCTCCGGCTCTGTTTACCCCTGCACGAGCACAGTGAACCCCACCATAGTCCTGCTGCAACACAACAGAGGTGAGCACACCTGTCTTTTGCATGCATTTGTGCATCCCAGCTTTATGTTACTCTGTGATCCATTAGCCTTGTCTTGTTCTGTGTCACACATGATGTCTCACTTTTGCTTCACTGTTCAGTCACATTTCACTGTGCTTGTCCTTGTCTTTCTCTCACCACAGAGCAACAAAAGCATCGTTCTCATTTTCAAGGTATGCACTGGGGTCTTGCTGATTTCTATTTGTAATTTATTTTTCATTTCAGCAGTCGTAGTTTTATTACAGCGCAATATTTGTTTCTACTCAACTGAAGCATCTGTCACCCTCCCACTGCCTTGACACACTAAATGCCACATGCCTGATGAAGTGATTGATTCATGTTTTATGCGTCAATGTGTTGGAAAATATTTGAAAAGTTTATTTGCTGACAAGAATGTCCCAGGCTATACAGAAACATCAAGGCTACGAGTTATGTTATGTATATTTGTCTTTTTTTTTTAATATGATGCTAATTTAAGACCTGCGTCACACTAGATTTCATTTTGTGTCTGTTGCCAGATAAAGATTAACACTTTCATCCACTTACTTGACACCTGACACATCTCATTCATGCGGCCAACTGTCACATGCTGCATAATGTGATGCAGTGTTTACCTCGGGGTCAGCTGTTGTTATCAAGGCTTTACTGTCATGAGGGAACAACAACAGAAAGTTCCAAGAGAATAGGGGGTGAAAAGGACTTTGGTGACACGTAGTAAGCAGTCATGCAAAAACAAGAAACTATATCTTTCTATATATTTCACATTTTTTGTGATATATGTCAAGTCTTTTATGCAATTTATGATATTGTATTATCATAAATTCACTTTTTTTTGTGGTACAGAACACATTCGGTGAGGCAAAATCTAGTGAATTATATATATAAAAGGCAAAATATGAATTTGATCAGGGGCACATGACATGCGGTACCCATAGATTTTCCATATAGGTTAAAACCCGTAATAAAGTTTATAGTTTTGGAACCAGAGGCCTGTACTATGAATCCGGTTCAACATACCCTGGATATGTTTGAGTTCTGGCTTAACTAACCCAAAACAAACGCGATATCTCTAAGCGGTCCTACGGCGCTGGTTATCAACTCGGTAACTCAAGCCAGGGTTTCTCTGTCCGGCTGAGTGCGCGTTCACATGAAAGGGGCGGGGTTAGCAACATTTGACCAATCACAAACATGGACAAGCGTACTGACAGCGCAGCGTTATACTTCCTGAATGAAAAGTAAACTATAATATTAGACAAATATGCAAGGTGAATACAGCTGGTAAAAGAAAAAGTGTTTGAATGCGTACATCAACAGGTTTATGATATCACTGCCCCGTCTAAGACACGAGTGGATCTGACTTTAATTACATTTGACTCGAGTGTTTCGTCAACTTAATGTGTTGCTTAAAATAATACTTCTGCATACAGTATGTGACACTGTAAGTGTTGCACGGCCAGATGCGGCTCAAGAAGCTGACTCAGATAAGGAAATATATGATACATTATGATGTGATATGTGATATGAATGATAATTTTTTTTACCAGCTGTATTCCCCTTGCAGGTTCAACTATGTGGCTTTTATCCTGGATAAAGTGTTTAAGTCATGGATGTTTAAAGTTTAACGTCTTCATATTTGTCTAATATTATAGTTCACTTTACATTCAGGAAGTATGACGCTGCGCTGTCAGTACGCTTGTCCATGTTTGTGATTGGTCAAATGTTGCTAACCCCGCCCCTTTCATGTGAACGCACACTCAGCTGGAGAGAGAAACCCTGGCTTGAGTTAACGAGTTGATAACCAGCGTCGTAGGACCGCTTAGCGAGATCGCGTTTGTTTTGGATTAGGTAAACCGGGTAACTCAAACATATCCAGGTTATGTTAAACCGGCTTCGTAGTACAGGCCTCAGGTCTAACACACATCTACACTTATTTGTCCTTCATGCTTGTATTTTAATTTCATCCTGCCTGTCATTTGCTGTACGCAGCCCACATTATCTGTATATCTAATGTCTTGTAATTCAATGCAATACTTTAGTGTCATGAGTCATTTCACTGTAAATGCTCTTTGAACTTTTGTCTGGCTTACTGATGTGTTTTTGTCACAGACCCAACCCCAGAAAGGGACAAAAGCCCTGATCCGGGGAGGGACTCGGTCAGTCCGGATGATATGGACTTGAAGAGGCTGCGGCTGTCTCTGCACTCCCCTGACTTCAGTCCTGTCAACAAGCCCATTGTGCCTGTACGGGTAAGCAACACAACCGCCTGTCAGATGAAGATAAATCTACTCACTGCGGATGTTTAGAGGGTGTTTTGTTCATATGATAAATGGGTCTTTGATGTAACAGTAAAAACATTGTTTAAAGCATGTTACCAAACGTGTTTGTAATATAGTCAGTTGTTGATTTGTGCTGTATTTCTGAAATGTTTCTTTGATTTGGTAATAACTGTTTTAATCGATCAAAATTGTTTTCTCTCCTGTGTTATTGATTTATGATCACATGAAAATAAATCTTCTACTCTTATATAATGATTTTAAGTTTTTCAAGAAATGTCAACAGCTGGGGAAAAGAAGTATTTTTTTAGGCGGGTGACAATGTATGTTTAAATGATTAAAATAAATAACCAAACCTGCTTATCCACAATATGTGTTTACTTTGTTTTCAGATTGCAAAGAGAAATTGAAACTCTTTGAAGACAATATGAATACTTTTACTCCTATTTATAACTTGGGGTAAGCCTCTTGTGGCTCAAATTAGTATTACAAAAACAAACTCAAATAATTATCCTATAAAAACAAATCATCTGCCAAAACTTTCTTTTCACCTGTTCATATGTCACAAGAGAAAACAATTTAGATCAGACTTAGAAAGATGTACCATTGAGTTGTTTTCTCATTTACCTCTCAGGCTAATTGTTCATCCTCAGCTATTAATGAAAAGTCTCCACATCTCCATTTCAGAACACAGATAAGTCCAAAGACTGGTACAAGACAATGTTCAAACAGATCCACAAAATACCTGGTAAGAGACATTTATCAAATCTACTTTTTGTATGTGGGATCAGTTTTGTCTATCATGTTCCTGTGCTGTTGTCCAAGCCCTGTGTGTGTTTCTATATGTGTGTGTTAATATGTTTGTTTGTCATGTTGTCCTCTGTCTCTCCATCACTGTGCTCAGAGGCTATTGAGGAAAACCCTTACCGTCCCACCTACATTTTCCCCGAGAACTGTGATATTCAGATGAAATCGAAAGGTATCCGCTGACAGTGACTCCACTCTTGTTGGCTTAATAACTGATCTGCAGCCATCCTCGGCCCTTTCAAATACTTGAGCTGTGTTTAACCTGTGAAAAATAAAATATCTTAAAGATGGCCTCAAGTATTTGAAAGGCTTTTACCTAATCTTTCCCGACATCCGTTCCATAACATAGCGCCGTTTTATATGAACTGCAGGTTTCGTGCACACTTCCTGTGTTGCTGTCCTGGGACATTTTCTACATCACTAGGCTTTTGGATTTAAAGGGCTTTATTTTACAGAAAATATGACATGTGACATTAAGAAAAGCACAGGTGTAAAAGGATCAAATGAGTGATGGCTGAATTCCATTTAGCTGTTTCTGTGTCAGAGTCTCGTATTGGCTCACTGTCAGTCTGTCATGACCCACTGCCTCACTTGAATAGAGCAGAGTCATCATTAACGTTATTAGTGACACATAGGCTTTTCCTACTATATCCAAATCTCTGCTGGTACAAAAACAGTTAGAGGTACACTTTTTTTAACGTATTATATGGGACAGTCCACTAATTTGCCACATGAGGGTCAGTTTACTTGTTCAAAGTAAGAACCCTGAAGAAGTCCAACAGTGCTAGTCTATTATAGAGACAGATTTGAAAGGGGGAGGGAATTACACACGTAAATGGTCCACATGATTGGAAAATAACTCGTAGTTACAAACTGCCGGTTGGCATTTGAGAGTTGCATTATGGGAAATGTAGTCAGTGTTTCTGTGGCTTTTATTAAGGGGGAAAAATCAGGATATCTCAGCTTCTGCTGCATACATTTTGACAGAATCTGTCTCTTGTAAGTCCCCCAATTTTATAGAATTATCATATCAAATTGCTGGAGTAACCCTTAAATGTTTTTGCCATGTCGTTAAAAACAACGTTTGTGGGTTAGTTTCTAATTCATACTCTCACAAAACAATGGTTTAGGCTTTAAAAATCTTGATTCAAACATACTCATCTGGTTAATTACAGCATTGATAAGTCATGTTGAGGAGGATGATGCACGAAACCTGGTAGTGCCATTCTACTTTCACTTAACAAATTGTAGCAATTACTCATGGCTTTTTTGTATTTGCTGTTAACCATCAAATAATTGATTGATGTGAATAATCTTTATTTTTCAAACATGTCATAAACGCCATCATCAAGAGCATGAGCAGTCTTTGGATGTAGCGTGCTTTGGTAGCCACTAGATGCTGCTGCAGACCTGCACTTTAGTCTGTACTGCCCTGTGCCTGGTCTTACAGGCACTACACAACCTTCAGACTGCGTACCGCTCCTAACAAGCTTCATCTACTAATGTCAAAGTTTGGTTTGTCTAAGCTTGACCACAATGTGTAGTTGAGACTTACCCTTTAAATGTTATGTCACACAGAAATACATTACTTATTCAGAGATAAGTTTGAACGTGGCAATCGTGACCTTTTTGCTGTACAAAGCATTACTTATTCAGAGCCTTGATCGATGCTTGCATCCCTTTTTAGCTCAGTAATGCTTCCAGTAAAGTGCTTTGATTCGACACACTTTGATTGTGTTTGATGAATCTGTAATGCCTAATGGAAGGTGTGAGGCAGGAAGGAAAACACAGGAAAAGAGTGGTTTTAATGCCTTGTGAATTATTTAGGTTTGGGCTATGTTCATTATTTTTCCTGTAACAGATTACAGATTGTTGTAAATTCATTTTGGCTGTTGTTTGCCCCTGCTTTCAGATGATTGTCCCACTCCCTTTGGTTACTTGGAAGATGGTGAGTTTTGGCTTTCATACAAAAACAAAATCATCCATTATTAGTATTTGTTGAGAATGATCTAAAATGACACTCATGAATCCAACACAATCCGCTCTTCTTAATCATCCGTAATATTTCAGTTGATGCTTCAATGACCGTCAGTATTTGTGTGCCTGTTTCCAGTGAGAGCAGTCCCGCGCTCTAAGAGTGACGCCGAGATGGATTCAAGAGGCCGCTCGATGCCCGTGCCAACGCGCTCCTCTTCCCTCAAACCCTCTGCCAAAAGGTCAGCATCCTCCATCTGCTCCAACCGTCCTTATGACATTCACTTTGGTGTTTAACACAAAAGCACAGCACTGTTCAGGATTGTTAGTGAAGAAAGGAGCTGTTTACAACTCAGAATGCTGATATCAATCACCAAGAATATAACTCTAAGAAGAGAAATGATATTTATGTCTGTCTCTTAAAAGTGTTCCAGTGATATCAAACCAGGCTGTGATGTTTGTGGTAATTAAATGTTCTAACAGCATGACCTAAAAGTCACTTTCAGAAAAAACTTTTGATGAACAGTTTGCATTGTTTATTTCCCTACAGTGCTAGGAAGCCCTTTAAGTCAATGAGTCGAATAATTGGTCACTTTAGTCTTATTCGACTTATATTTCTTTGTTTAATTAGTTTTAGATTTTACATTTTTTTTGACTTATTATGAGCATTAACTGGTTAACACAAGACATAAAGGGTTGCTTTCGCACAATTCTTTGTAAAGTTTCACAGATCTGTCAATTAACTACATTAATAAGTGTTCTTTAAGTCAAGGACAGCCCGAGTGCAGAGCAGGTCAAAAAACAATGTCTTCTTCCTCCTGTTGTTGTTTTTGTCCCAGGCGGCTTTCACAAGCATGTTGTTTGTGCTGGAGGTGTGATTAGTCTCTCCCCTCATCAAACACATACACATGTCAGCACCGACACAAAATGATCTGCTCTAAAAAATGAGTGATGGAGTGATGATGGAGGACAGGTGATGGAGGATAAACTGTTGCCCACTAGAGCTGCAGATGACATGTTGAGGACTGACCTTCCTCTTTCCTCCGGTGTTATGTATGTAGGGGGGCATTGTGAAACATGTAAAGAAAATGCTGCTAGATGTTCTGACTCTCAGAAAGAATGTCATTACAGAAAGTGTTTATTGTGACGCCATAATAGGTGTTAGATGTCCTATTTAAGAGTCTTATTCCAGTCTTTTTAGTAGTAAATGTAGCCTTGGCTGCCTGTTACAGTAAGAAATTCTCCCAGGAAATGACACGCTCTGTTTTATGTCACTGGGTCCAATCTTGTTTACCTTATCGAATTACCAATTTGGCTCGACCGGATTTTCTGTCATATCATCATTAGAGGAAGTGAGGGACAGGAGAGGAGAGAGAGAGCGGGGATAATGAGGGCGCACGTCATGTTTGAATAAAAAAAAAAACATCTTAGCCTTTGCTGGTTGCCATGGAGACTACTTGATAAGGATTGGCTCTCTTCCATCCCACACCCCAACCCTCCCTCACACCCGCCTCTCCACAGGAACGAGTGGGAGCCCCCGGATAAAAAGGTAGACACCAGGAAGTACCGCGCCGAGCCCAAGAGCATCTTCGAGTACGAGCCAGGGAAATCGTCGGTGCTGAAGCTGGAGAGAAAGGTATGTTAGCCGCCTGATTCCCTCTCTCTCTGTCTCTACTCTTCTCTCTGTGTGCATGTTGTGTAAGCTGTGCCCTCATGCACACCCCCCACCTACCACCTCTGTATCCGAGCTCCCGGGTGGCAGCTTCACTAACAGCTCAGGCGGCGACGTTATGTGTAGTCTGAATTCACCATGTGCACCGCATTCCTAAAGGGTGTCCTGTTGCGGTGACAGATGATCCTGCTTGGCAGCAGGGGGTATCACTTACAGGGATAGCCATTGTCTTCCTTTCTTCAATTTAAGGTTATTGGGCCGAAGCAGCTCGGTGTGAGAGGATCCCAGAGCAGACACAATACATACATCCTGTGTGTGTGTGTTTATAGAGAGCTCTTTACCGTCTTCGCAAGCCTTAGCAGTTTGCGCTAAATCAGTTGGCACGACATTTTTCAGTGTCCTTGAAAACTGTCACTTCAGGATGAGCTTTGTTAAATATAATATTCATATAATTATATAATTGGCAAGATCTACAGTGTTATACAGTAATTACCAAAAGGAGAACACATACACTCATCACATTTCCTTCTTACATAATATAGGACATGGAGGTGATCAGTATTGTGATGAAGTAGTTGATTATGAAATGATTGTCTGTCTGCTGCTCTGTTACGTCAAGCTAGTAGATGTTGTTAGCCAGGATCCCGGTGGCACACTCATTAGAGAGAGTTCGCTCCAGTTCATCCTGGGACTCCTGCACAATAATGAAAGAATGTTGTTTTCAATCACAAGCTCACTTACTGTGGGTCAGTGTTCTTGTTGCGTCAGCCGGTCATTTTCTACGTCAGGTCTATTATTTTTATTCTCTGAAGCTTCAAGTTGTGTTGGCACTGACTACCTTAGGACATCACAAAAATATATATTTTAACCTGTTAAGCCCGAGAGACCCCGGTACCGGGGCACTGCCGCAACATCTTGCAGGAAACGGTGTCTGAGGGCATGTTCATTTAATAAACTATGAATGTTTTATATCCATGTAACGGGAAGAAACTCATCTAACTGATCATTTTTTTTTTTTTTTTTTAAATAAAACCCACAATGCTAACGCTGAGCCTCTGAATTAGCAACGAGCTAAAGATGCTAACAGATTACTGCACCGAAATTCACTCACAAAACCTTATTATTTATCTTTTCTGCACATCCATGACATTGTTTCACATCGTGAGGTGACACAGAATCGAAGGGTACCCTCATTATCACTCAATTATACGAAATCGCGACTTTATAAACAAAAACAGACATCAAAACATGTGGCGCTAGGTAGCTAAAAATGCTAACATGGTTTACCTTGTGTCGTAGTCTGGTCAAACGTGGTCTTCAATGGCATTAAAACGATAAAAACGATAATCCATAGGTTAATCCAATGTGTCTGTGTCCCTTTGAAATGATTTCTGATAATCCATGAGCAATAAAACTGCTTTTCCATTTCCAGATGTCAGAGCTAGAGTGTAGGTTCGCTCTGATGCAAAACTACATGCGCGAAGCCCCCACATTTTTGTTGTGCCATGTTAGTGAGAGGGGAGATTCCCCTTCGATTCTATTGGCTCTAACGGTCATAAAGAGATGTCAATCATCAAAATCGACCAATGGGTTCCAGAGAAACGGTAAAACCCCCATTTCCACCCAAATCACCTCAGAGGTGGAGTTTTTTTTTGCTAAACCTCTCTAAAAAGGTCAAATGTCACTTGGTTTGCATCAATCTTGATACAGGGTACTTATTATATGTTGTACTTTGGATTCCTAAAGCTTTTAGTCTACCTTACCATCATCCAAGGGTAGTTTTCACTATAAGTAAACAATAATATTTGGACGGACACTATAATTTACAGTTTTTTACTATGTTCAATCTGAATTTTCTTTAAAATAAAAAACATCTACATTGTTCTGACTGTTCTACATCCAACTCACAGGTTTATCATTACTTTGAGGAAAAAGATTATTAATTTAACCCTTTTAGAAGGGAAGATATGGTCATTTGTTCTGGGAATGTCATTTTCGAGCCTGAGACCTGAAAAACAGGCTCAGGGCTAAACAGGTTAAGATTATCTTCAAAATGTTCATTGGTCGTCATCAGTATTTGCCTGTTGGTAAGAATAAAATGAAAACATGAAATATGTAGTTCTGATTGATTAACATCATCTTTTGAGTAAAGGACTTGGTACAGGGTTTTTTACCAGCCTATTTTAATGCATTACCCTGATATACCCATATGTCCATTGAAACAGTTCATGGTGGCTTACATTTGACTTCCTGTCAATACTGTCCAAGCCAATTCCTATAGGAAAGTTGCAAAATTGCATTAAAACTTCAGCCGAGGTTAATATGAGGCTTAAAGGTGGGGTAGGTAAGTTTGAGAAACCGGCTCGAGATACACTTTTTGTTATATTGCATGGAATGCTCTTAACATCCCGATAGCAATGAATATCTTAAGTGCTTTGACAAAAAATCCATTAAAAAATGTCATCTGTGGAAGCCGTAATACTGTAAAAAGCACGACCAATCATTTTAGCCGGCCCGGCTTAAATAACTGGATGGCCTACCTGCCTGTCAGTCTTCCATCTGGGCACAAACTTATCTCGTGCCCTCATTGGTCATGTGCGCGTTCGTGTGTGTTGGAGGAGGGGCTCTGTAAGGAAGTGGCAGATTTTTTCCGGTTGTGTATTTTCAAATTCTAGCGCACTCGAGCTGGTTTCTCCAAAATTACCTACCCCACCTTTAAGCCATCAAATCGAATTAATTCTCAACCAAAGTTAAGGCCATTTATTTAAAAAATCCCTCTTTGTACTTAAGTAGACTTTGGAATCATAGTACTACTGTAGCATGTATAAGAGAAACAAGTACAGTGATCTGTAGCTTTATTAATATACAGTGTATACAGTACTTGTACCAAATACCAATGTGTATATATTGTATCAAAGGAATGGTTTGACATTTAGGGTAATATGCTTATCTGCTTTCGTGTTAAGACTTACATGAGTAGGTTGATGCCACCAGCAAATTAACCTAGAGGGGTGTAGCATGAGCCAAGAAAGAACCTTTTTAAATCTTAATCACGGATTAAGTAGAATTATGTTTCACTATTGTTAATATTAGGAATGTATGCTGCATTAGTGTCCTGTCAGAATAATAAAAAAAAAAATGTTCTGACTGGTTGAAATTCATTTTAGAAACCCCTCAAGTTGGACTCTCAATGGGGAAACGGAAACCAACATGTGGTTGACCTTGTTTGTTTTATCACAAAAACCAAACTGTTAAAGTGACTATTACAGTTTTGTGCCAGACTATTACTGTAGTTGGCTGGAAAAAAGGGACTTCCTTCAGTGTCAGTTGGTTGCCTAGCAGTCTCACTGGGACAACAGAACTTCAGGTTTTTATACAGATTAAACAAATGTGATTTATATGTGCTGCTGGTATGAGGATTTTTTTAACGATTACAGCTGTTTCCCCCCGTTTACAGTCTTTGTGTTAAGCCAATTGGCAACTGGCTGCAGCTTCATATTTATCAAACAGACGACAGTGGTTTCAATTTCCTCATCTAGCTCTCTGCAAGAAAGCATTAGGCGATTTTCAAAAGTAGCAAACTATTACTTATATTACTTATTACTAATAGTCTTTCGACGAAAATAATACATTTGAACCTATCCTTTTATTTACTGTGATGTAAAAAAATCCGTAGCTAGCTTCCTTAAAGGTAGGGTAGGTAAGTTTGAGAAACCGGCTCGAGATACACTTTGTGTTATATTCCATGGAATGCTCTTAACATCCCGATAGCAATGAATATCTTAAGTGCTTTGACAAAAAATCCATAAAAAAATGTCATCTGTGGAAGCCGTAATACTGTAAAAAGCACGACCAATCATTTTAGCCGGCCCGGCTTAAATAACTGGATGGCCTACCTGCCTGTCAGCCTTCCATCTGTGCACAAACTTATCTCGTGCCCTCATTGGTCATGTGCGCGTTCGTGTGTGTTGGAGGAGGGGCTCTGTAAGGAAGTGGCAGATTTTCTCTGGTTGTGTATTTTCAAATTCTAGCGATCTCGAGCCGGTTTCTCAAACTTACCTACCCCACCTTTAATGAAAACACCTATAGTATTGCTGATCATTTATGGTGTTGGGTACAAACATAAGCCAAACTATATAATATGTATTATTCTCATTTTCTTGGTGTGTTTTCTGTCCTGTCTGAACTGTCTTCTCTTTGTCTCTCTCCTCCTCTTCTCGTTGCCGTGCCCCTAGACTCAGGATGTAAATCCAGAAGATGTAAATGTAAAGAATGAGCCTTGGTATAAATTCTTTTCAGAGATGGAGTTTGAGAAAGGGGTAAGTGGTCGATGTCTTAAAAATGGCAGTATATTTTATTGCATGTGATAACATCCATGTTCAAATAATGCCTAAACAAACTGTGTCTGTCTGTAAGGATACTCCAGTTCCCAACTTCACTTGCAATATTTTTCTGAATATTGTCTTTATTTATCAAGCACATCAAAAAGTGACTGCATGTATAAGAGGAAACGCGTTTCCTCTTGAACTAAATGTACTACCATGTGTCCCATCAACGGGGCCTAATGAGACTCCTACTGATTTTATGCATCCCTATTTTTTGCTATTTTCCTTGAAAAATTCACTGTTTATTTACGTATATCAGCAATCTTTTTTCTTTTTTTTTAAAGCCCTTTATATAGATGCTTTCATTCCTTATCATTCCTTCATACAATTTAAAAGAATGTTTGTGTCTGGTTGTGTTCTATAAAGATCTATTTGAGACCTCTTTAAAAGTGTCAGCAATGTATCTGTCTGTGATGCTGAGTGAGCAACAGCTCAGACAACAGAAAACGCTCTGACATTATCTATGGCTTTAGCTCTGTGCAATTTCAATAACTAATATTTACTAAGGCTGATTGCTGATTAACATTCGTAATACTCCAGTAGGTGTCCATGATGAAGAATCACTTAAATGATCAGTGCTGTTTTTCACGGTCCTATTTTCTTTACAACAGGCTCTTGTATCTCTTGCCAACTGTGGCATCCCTGTTTTTTTAATGTTGTTAACTCAACACCCAAGAGAAAGACATTGTTTTGTTCATTTTGTATGTGCTCTTTGCCAGCTACAGAACATATCATAACACTAAAGAGCCTGGCAGTGGTGGAAGGAGGATTCATATCCTTTACTGAAGTAAAAGTAAAGCACAACACTATACTAAGAGTACCATTTCTGTATTTAAACCCTTATCTAAGTCAAATTATCTAAATATTATCAGCTAATTGAAGTTCAAGTATCCAAGGTATAAGCAGTAGTAAGTTGTGGTAGGTATATGTAAAAAGATTACCCTGCCAGTATCTTACCATTTTATGTGATGTTTTTGGATCAATATCACAGCTTTTGTATGTAGTTTAAACTACAGAAATGCTCCATATTCAATTAAATCTGTGTATGTTTGTAGCTTGTTCACTTTCCTTCAAATACCCCTATGTACCAATTGAGGATTTGTGTCAGAAAATCAGCCCTGCATTTTCATAACTCTTCTTAAAGGCATTTAAAATTGTTTAGATTAAAAGTAGGATATTTCTCTCATCCCATAAAGGAACACTTCCTCTTTCAGTTTATCACAAACATTCAAACTCAACAAATTTGGAGATAAGCTACATGGTTTTCACTGGACAGGAAGGGGGCTTCACATATCGAATTAAGCTGTTACTAGAAGAAACATAGTTAAATGTACAATATTCACCTCTGAGATGTTGTGGAGAAGAAGTGAAAGGTGTAATACCTAGTTATAAAGTTAAGGACACAAATCGTTACTGTACGTACTACTTGAGAGTACAGTACTTAAGTAAAGGCACTTAGCTATATTCCACCACTGTCCAGAAGTCACTCTTCACTTGGAGAGGCTGCATCAGTCTCCAAAGAATCCCAGGGCCTTGATATAATAATTGCTGCCTGTCTGCTATCTGGTTTATTAACCAAAATACCCAAGCGGGCACAGGCATGTTCCAGCAGTATACTGTGTCATGCCAAATCCATGCCTCGGGCCTCGGTTGGCACCAGCTGAGTGTGGCGCTGGCCGCCCACAAGCAGATGTTGCTTCTCCTCACCGCCACACCCTGGATCATATGAGGTGGCACCACTAACTCAACATGAGGTCATGTCCTAGCATCAGCCAGACGCAGAGGCAGGGTCTCCTGTTCCAGGTTAGGGTATATGTGGAGGAGGTTTAGCAGTGGAGGCAACCGGGCGGACTCTGTCTCATGGCAGCCTGGATGTTTGCCAGGCTTGATGACTGGCTCCTGTTTAATGTCAAAGTCACTTCTAAAGCTGCACCTGGTATGCGCAGTATTTGACCTTAAGGCCCAGCCAGACACTCTGGCTCATTGGAGTTTGATTGACATATCGGTACTCAGTCTGTATTACTGAAGGGGTGATATGGCTGCTGACCACAGTGCTCAGTGGTTGAACAGAGAGATAGGCCTTTCAGGGCTCTGTTTCAGTTAGGTCTTAGTCTTATCAGGTTTGTTATTACAAATATAAGCAATCAAAACAATCTAAACATTATCCTATAAGAAAAACTGAACTGATACGATATTGCCTGTTAAAGAAAACCCATATAAATCTATGTAAACTCCCTTCAGTTTTATTTGTTGGTATAATATATCTCTACCGAAAATAAAACACAGCACAGTTTTTAAACAATGTATTGTGTATGCATATGTAGCTACCCGCTTCTTGACATTACACCTTTCCTCTAACAGACACAAACTTAAACTTATATAAAAATACAATATTTTGAGTAAATTAAACTAAACTAAAACCAGCAAAAACACTCTAAAGACTAAATGAAGACTGTTTTCTCTTCTTCTTCAGTTAGGTCTTGTTCTGATCAGGACGTTTATAGTAAACTCAAATTAAATAAAGTAGAGACACATTTTGACTAAAATAAAAAAATCGACAGTACTTTAAGAAAAACTGTAATTATACGATATTGCCTGGTTAAAAAAAACTGATAAAAATGTCTGTAAACTCCTTTAAGTTTAAATGTTTTGGTATATTATCTCACCACTAACAAATGAGACAGCATATTTGTTGTCACTACTGTAACTTCAACTAAACGTATAATTAAAATTGAAAAATTGAAACTTTTATAACCATGGTTCTTATTATTAACCTGTTAACTTCTACTAATTAAATCTGAAGGAGAAGCATATTGACAGTATTCACAGTTCCTCTGACCCACATCTTTAGAACATCTTCTCGTGGTTTCCCACTGCTAATTAGCCAGTTGTCAACTAAATGCCTCTAAAGAGCGAGCTTAGTGTAAGTTACACAGTAGATAATCCAACAAGACTGCACTATTTTCTCTTCTTCTTTATCCCCCTCCTGTCAAATCATCATTCCTCGTCCAGCAGCGGCCACTCCCAGTCACCTAATAGCCACTGAGTGAGACTGACACCTGTGTGTATTAATCACAGTAATGGTCCTCTTGATTAATATTAACAAGTTCTGGGTTAAGTCGGAAAACACACTCGGTGACAGTTACGGTCATACATAGGCTCATCGATATACATGGCTAGCTGGAATTCCACGCATAGCTCCGGTCAGGAAGAGCATTTCAGCCCCCTGCACCCGACAGAGTGACTCCATCTGTCGGGCATATGCTGACGCGGGGGGCTGCTGCCACACTGTCTCAGCGCTGAGTTACACACACCATCCACCGCCACCTGACATATTCTAAAGGAGGCAACTCTGTAAGCCCGCCAGCTCATTGTGCTTTCATATTTAACCTCTGCTGCACACTTAGCCTGTTACCTTTAAGCATTTAGCGGAGATGAGGGGAGGGGCGCTCACGGCTATAACAGGCCCTTCACACTGGGGGAGCTGTTTGTTTTCATGAGTACATATCAACACAAATACGGTGTTGTCTGGAAAGAATGAGATTCATGTTACCATGACCTACTCATGATCGCTATTTTGAATATGAAAGCGGCTCTGAGTAGACACCTGTTAGGAAACATGCACAGGAAATTCTGCAGAAACTTTGTCATCAGTGTTCCACTGACTCACCGACGCCTGCGCTCTTGTCCATTGAGAGCTTCGATATTTCACCGCTTTAAGAGAGGTCCATCCTTTATGTGTGTCTTTATCTGATAACAGTTTTGGCATATCTCTTTATTCTATGTCCTCCTTTTATGTCATAAACTTCCTAAAAAGTGTCTCACAGCTACTGTATGGGATGTTAAAGGACATCAGAGTAGGATTCGTTCCAAACTGTTTTATATAAAGAAAAAGTTCATTAAGTGACACTAATCAGGCATCTTGTAAATAACCAGATTAAGATTCCTTTACTCCAGAGCCTTCCATGCTTGTTTCCTGTTTACTTTCCACTGATGCTGTGTGTGTTTAAGCCCAATTACCCAGGGGGATGCAAGAGGACACTATCCTCTCCCCCTGATATCAGTTGAAGAGGGGGGATACAAGTGGAGGAAGAGCTGCAGATTATTCAATGACACTGGCGTGTTCCCCCGAGCCGACATGGAACATTTGGCTTTATAAATAGATGAGACTATAGACCTGGCAGCCTGATGTTCTGCTCTTGTAAAGATCGGCATTTATTCTGAAAGGTTATAAATGATCATCCTGCCCTGGCAACTAAGTGCAGAGGCATGTTGTGGCTGTGGAGAATGCTCCATGTCTGGACATCGGTGCGTGGAAGCGGAGCCTTGGCCGCGCCGCGGGGAAGTGGATGTGGTATTAACAGCAGGGCCAGGCTGGCTGGGATGGGGATTGTGCAATCGTATTTGCAAACAACACTTGCGCTCTTATTCATAGTGCCCGTGTCACGTCTGTTATTTTTACCTGCTGTGACGTCTGAAAAGAGGAAAGCAACAGAAACAGTGGGCTAAAATTAGTTTGCACTAAACCATTCAAAATGCTAGTGGGTGCTAACATGCTGAGAGACCACGCCAGTGTTTTGAGGATAATATCTGCTTGGAAACATGCACTACTTTTACTTTTGTGTCCATTCAAACATTATTCACTCACTTCGTGCTTGCAGCTTATTTCCTTTTGTATATGTGTTTGTGCTCTTTGTCTTTATAACATTGTTATAATGATCTGTTTCTACAATGTGTGTGTGTGTGTGTGTGTGTGTGTGTGTGTGTGTGTGTGTGTGTGTGTGTGTGTGTGTGTGTGTGTGTGTGTGTGTGTGTGTGTGTGTGTGTGTGTGTGTGTGTGTGTGTGTGTGTGTGTGTGTGTGTGTGTGTGTGTGTGTGTGTGTAATTCGGCCTGCTTACACCACCAGCTGGTTAATTGTCCCCCGGTCTGGTCCACTGGTAATGTGTGACTCAATACCAGACAAAAGAGACGGCTTCACTGCGAGACAGCAGCCCATTGGCTGAGCCTGTGACAGCCCCCTCACTGCATGGGCGCCCCCTGACCGATTGCACGCCCACTCCCCCCCCCTTTCACTCTCCTCACTGCCGCTTGTTTTCTCCAACTTGCATGCAGGCCAAAACACACGCTTTACTCCTCCATGCCAAGCCCAGTCCAGAGAAGCTAAGAACCCCGGCTGCTCGAGACATAAACCCAGAGCGGAGAGTGAGCGGCGCAGAGGAAAAGAAGAGAGAATCTGACCATAGCTAATGCTCCTGCCTCTGTTCTAGCTGGAGGAGACCTTCCTGTGGATCTATCAATGACTTCTTTGTTTGGTTTGTTGCAGAGTGCCCCCTCTTTCAGCCCCCTGGAAACAGCCTCCGACCTGCAGCACTAGTAAGTCCATGCCTCCTTTTTAATCCAATACTTTGAATCTGGCTTCCTACTTCCTGCATGCTGATGATCATTTAGGGAATGTTATGGGGATAAATGTCAGCAAGAGATTTCTCCACCCTGGAGAGCTCGCCCACCCTCAGCGGGGGGCTCCTGCTTCCTGAGGAGATCCTGTTAATAAGGCAGAAAGCTCTCAGAACAGTGTGTCCTCTGTCTCTATTTCATGGTGTTTTTAAGGGGGCAGGGTAGTTGTAGGTTGGAGGCATGCATGCTATGTGGAGATTTATTTAAAGACAGCAACCTGGATGTCACTGGGATAGAGGGAACTCGCTCAGCTGCTGTATAACTTAAAAACCGTTATCTTCTTCTGTGTGTGTGTGTGTGTGTGTGTGTGTGTGTGTGTGTGTGTGTGTGTGTGTGTGTGTGTGTGTGTGTGTGTGTGTGTGTGTGTGTGTGTGTGTGTGTGTGTGTGTGTGTGTGTGTGTGTGTGTGTGTGTGTGTGTGTGTGTGTGTGTGTGTGTGCGTGAGAACAGTGAGCGGCAACTGGATTATGAAAGAGGATGCTGGCTGCTACTACAACAAAGCTTAGCAAGCCCTTGATCTTTCTCGTTTTTGTCCGATGAGATTGACATCTTCTATTTTTGAATGCGTAATAAAATGTAAGGAATTTAGGACTGAGCGTCTCCTCTACAGCCCAGGGAAAATAAACTTCCTCCCTCCATTTCTGCTCAGAACTTTCCATCTGCTACAATCATTATGTCATCGCGGCCGAGTGTTTGAGAAAAGATTCCCAATCCTACTTTTTTAAATCCATTGATTTGTTGGTAATTTGGGAAGGAAGAGGCTCCTGGTGGAAGTCCACTCAACCAAACTTCTTAAAGGAAACCTCAAGTCATAAACTAACTTCCTTCAAAGGCACATATGTTTATGGCAGGATGCGTTTTTTTCTTCTCTGGGGTTTGTTTGAAATCAGAGATCATTCTTGTTTATATATAATCAAAATTATAAAATGCAAAACCATATGTGTCAGTGTAGTGACATTAGATGAATGAATTAAGTAAAAATGTGTGTTTTCAGGCGTTGCTTAGTGATCGCAAATTGTTTGTATGGCCTCACAATAAAAGCTGTGGTGATAGTCCATGCTCAGCCACTGGCATTTAAATGAGCTCCTCATCATTCCAGATAAACATTACAGTTAATTATAGCATTCAGGCGGCATACTGTCGATTTAACCTGAACCTTCCCAAGAGATTGTCCTTACACCTCGCATGGCTCCTGTCCTGCTGACTTCCTGTCTAGCATTTATGTGAATTCTTAAAAGTGACCTAGAACCAACATGATTTTAACGGCTCTCTGCAGTCAGCCGTGCGCTCACACAGCTATGAAAGAGCTTTTTGTGTCGAGGTCGTGAACAAGGCGAGTAATGTATCCATACATTTGTGCAAGCTTGGAAAGACTCCGACTTGGCAAAACTGCAGATGTAAAAAAACATTTGGAAAATACATTTCCTGACGCAAGTGAAAATGTGTTGTTTTTTTAGATGATACCTGAGTCGGTCAGTTTAACAGCCGTGTTTGTCTGCACAAATAAAAGGAGCAGCGTGAGCAACACGTGAGCGGCATGTGAAAGAGAGTAAACCTGACAGTTGTACAGGTGCATGGCAGGAGCTGAAGCACCATGTGGGAATGTTCAGAGAATATTTTTAGAAATGTGTCCCTTTGGCCTCCCTGGAATGCCAAGATATGTGTGGTAGCTAATGCCTTCTCTCAACAGCCTCCCAATTCTGCACTTTTCTTGCTCGAGTTTGTCTGTTTCTGATTACTCTGTCTCCCACAAGTCTGCTAAGCCAGGAATTACCTCAAGATATGCTAAACAAGAACCACATGAGAGCTCGTTACCCAATGTGTGTGCCTCTGGTTATCATAAAACACATGTAACTGAACTCCTTTGAATGAATTTGACTGTGTTTAACTAGCTGTCTGCGTTCCTCTCACCGCTGTCTAGCTCCTCGAGCAAGTCTGGACACAGCGAGGTGGAGAAGGACGGAGGATCATCCTCGAGTGAGCCCGGCGCTCCAGAATGCGAACGCCATGTTTACAAGAGTGTCCTGGAGGGCGGCGACATCCCCTTACAAGGTCTACGGGCCCTAAACAAGCGCCAAGCCAGCTCCTCCTCCTCTAAAGGTAAGACAAGAGCCACTTCGTACATGTGGCCAGTGAACAGGTGTGTGCATGTTTATGGATGTGGAGGCTAGACCGGACAGCGGGCCATTAAAGGTCTTTCCTGCTGAGTCAGAACCAATTAGCAGCGGACACGTCGAGCCGCTCAGACAGGGATACATGTGTTTCCGTTTACCTTTCCATTGGAATCCACACATTTTTCTTTTGCTCCCAGACCTCACAGCATCGAAGCATTCATTCGCCCCTGCAGCTTCTTTTGATTTATTATTGGTTTCCATCAAACAAATACCGACCATCTGCTTTGGAAAACTCACTGAGGGAGTGAGGTTGTCCCGCTAAGTCGATGGAAGCTAACCTTGGAGAGTTTCCCCCACCGACCCCCTCCCACCCTCACCTCTTGCTCCAGTTGTGACCCGCCAGTCGCTAGGCAGGCTTAGGGCAAGACTCCAGAGCGTTCCAGCGCCAGGGAGCGGAGGGCCAGAGAGGGGATGGATGAGGAGGGTCGGGTGAGATAAACAGACAGGGGTGAGATAAACAGGAGGGACAAAGAGGGTGGGAAGGCATGAGGAAGTCAGCTGTCAGAGTGAGGTCAGAGGCTGGAATGCCTGCGCACATGGCCGGGGAGAGAAACGCTGGGGGAGGAGAGATGTAAGGTAGATAAAGGAAGGGACAGTGTGACTCATTACATGTCATTACATTACATTACGTCTAGGAAGACACGCAGCAGATGTCACTTTAAAAACTGTCCACTCCGAGAAAAGGTTTTGTACATTTCCACAAAACAAAGATGTATAAAGACAGTTGCTTTAACCAGTTAAAGTAGGAATATTCAGTGCACTGGGCACAGTCAACTGACTAGCACGCTCCTTTATTAGCATTCTGCCCAAAGTGCTAGAAACCAAACACTTCATCATGTGTTTCTGTCTTGTGCTCCTGAATTAAGAAAACATCAGTTTTATTCTTTGTCCTTTGAAGAGCTGAGCTTCCTCAAGGGCTTATCAGACTCCCTACGTGCAGTGCCGTAGTATATCTAGTTTACTTCCTCAGTGTGTGTTTTTTCTGGTAGATATGACAGATGGGTCAGAAGTGTCCCACAGCATGTGAAAGTGTTGTGTCACTTCCAGGTTCCATCTGTGGTGCTGTCACGAGTGTACAATCGGGAGGAACTGATCATAGACTGCATATAGGAACTGAGGGGAGTATTTTGGTTTGACAGTCATATTTTACTGGGCAGGTTGACTCAGGATACATTTTTAATTTACGACCGTGTAGGGGAGCAGTGTATTAACAGGGGCGCTACAGGGCATTTATCACTGCAGCCGCCTGTCTTATTTCTAAAAGTAGAAGAAGAATATATGTAGGAGGTTAAAGAGGGACAGTCAGGTGTCATGTTGCGGAAAAAAATATGAATAAGACGCAGAAAAGATTGAAATGATTGTATTTCTTTTGTTGTTAAGTGTACTGATACCGCAGTCCGTGTTCCTATACGACCTCCAACATCACATAACATTTCATGGCATATTGCTGTTTTAATACTTTATGTTCCACTTATCATATTTCTGTTAACAGTGATATTGATATTGCAAGAATGTGTTAGACACTACATTTCCCCTTGTTTCATTTTTACAAAGCAATTCTTCACTGCAGCACCACGCTGTCTAACATCTCTAACTTGATGCACAAAGCATCAAGTGTGCTTTCTCTTCTCATCTACTTTTAATGTAACTCAGACTTTACTTTAGAAATGTGGCTGACTATGTTCTAGTGTGTGTGATCCTGTGACCATTGTAATCTAATATGTTGTTTATTCTGTTGTCCTGCATGCTTGCCAGTGGATTATAAAGGTGGGAATGGCTATATAATTTCACCCTGCTCCTCTGTAAATAGTCGATCGGTTCTTGCCAGTAATGCAATAGGTAGCCAGTGTAAGAGTATGAAGCCTCTTTCTGCTGCCAAAGCCTGCATACCCCAAATCCTGCCCTCTAAATTCAAGCCCAAGCTGCTGCCGCCCAGTGGTGACAGTCAGGAGAGCAGGACTAAAGCTGTCCGGCACCCAAAGGCCCACAGCTGTGAGGAGCTGTACACGGGGCCCTGTGACACAGACTTTTCCGGAGCAGAGGAAAGGGAGAGCGAGCATTATGCAGACTCCAGCTCAGAGTGCGGGGACCGCTTCAGGAATGTTTCCCCCGCAATCAGGAGGGGCGCTTCAGAGTTCTCCAGCCTGTACAAGAGCATGCACCACATCCAGCGGCCCAGCTCGGCCGGCTGCAGCCCCAACGGCAGCGTCCGCAACCTGGCCTCTCTTTTCGAGAAGTCAAAAGCCGAGGGGGGTGAAAGGTCAGAGGCGGATGACGGGGATGACATTCCACGGGAGGCAGTGTCGTCACGGGTCAGCGAGTTTGAAATGATCATCCAGCGGTCCAGCTCCGCGCCCAGCCGCTCCTCCTCCATGCCCACCCTGAACTCCGGCCACAGCCCCGACCACAGCACCGCCCAGCTCTTCATGGCCTCTGCAGTGTCAGCGGAGTCCCTTTTGGTAACTGACGCCACCCAGATGGACCGCTGCACCCCAGTGGAGGCAGAGGGCAAGAGATGTGAGGAGGAGACCGTGTCACCGGGCGATGTGAGCGCCTCCTCACAGGAAGGACATGTCAGGAGTGATTCACCCTCTAACACTGAGGAGGAGGTCGAGCAGATCCTCAGTAAAGCCCCAGAACTGATTCACCAACATGTATCAAAGAGTCCCTCCATGCAGCTTCCAGCATCTCCGCAACACAACCATCTCCACCACCACCACTTGCTACACCACCTCAACAATCAACTCCTCAAACCCAGCAAATGCAAAGGCTCTTGCCCCGCCTCCTACACCCGCTTCACCACCATCCTCAGGCACGAGAGGCAGCAGGCCACCAGCCAACAGGAGAGGCCGCCCCCTGTGGAGAAGAAGACCACGCTGCCCGGGAACCTCCTGCTCATGGGCCCCGCTCCTTTCAGGTTACGGAAGAACCTGCAATCCCACCAAAGTCGTAGGACCCTGTTAGCCACCAAGGTGACAACGAGCACCCAGAGGCCCAGCGCTTTTCCCCCCGAGCCCAGGCCCCTGATCCCCCAGCGCCTGTCCTCCCTAGAGGTCCTGGAGAGGCTGGGGAACGGGGAGGGGAGCCCCACGGACCATCTGAGTAACGGGCAGGGCTTGGACGCCAACGGGAACCTCCTGCAGCCGCCGGCCGCTCACCGCAGAGGTTGCTATCTCCATCCCTTCACCACTCTCCCCCCCCTTTCTGTGATCTCTCATTTATCTCGACTCTCTCTTCACCTTGTGTCCCTTTTTTCTCCACAAAGTGACGCCGCCACCCCCCCCCCCCCCCCCCTCCCCTCCATCTGTAGTCTGTGTGCCGTGTTTACAAAGTGACAAGAAAGCCTCTCCATCTCATTGTGTCAGTGTGCTGTTTGGTGCTCTCCCATCTTTCACTTGAATGAGTACGGTCCCCTCAAACGCATCAAAACCCCTCAGTGACTGTAGGAGGTTCAGGCAGCTTTTGGTAATGTATATATCTCCTGGTGACATCAGATTTGAGTTGTATGCAAGAGTGCTAGTGCCTGCATAAGCATTACATCGACACAAAAGCAATTGTGTTTTATTGCAAATCTGTTTTATTGCATCATTACGGGTGTGAGATAAAAGTAGATGGAAAGTGTTTTTTTTCCTTCTTTAACATCTACAATGAGTCATTTGTTCATTACATCAAATTGTAAAAGCTTTGCCTTAAACTCTGAGCATTCCTCTGTAATGTTTAAGCGGGATATTTCATTATAACATTGCATACGCTCTCTCAAATTGATGTCTCACCATGTATGTATCTGTTTTTATTTTTCTGTTTTGGGAACAACTTACATCTGCCATCTTTCATTCTTTCACCATGACAGGATGTTCCCTGATTGGATTTCTTTTCGCATCAGACACAAACCTGAGCCATTGATAGTTACTAGTTAGGGAACAGAATGAAACATCTTTGGTTGTGTGGGGGACAAATTAAGTCATGGAGATATCTAGCTAAACTTCAGTAAACTAACGGATGGTTGGTTGATCAGTAATGTCATGTTTTTCCTTTGGCCGAGACACAGTAGGTCTCATATTTTCCTTTCCTGCATTTTATTTTTCCATGAACACACATCGGATCATTCTGTGTTCATTACTACGTGCATGCAGGAATACATTTGGCTTTTTGGATGTGTGTGTGTGCTTTTCTTTTGAGATTATGGTGTTCATTCAAGGCATGCATAGTTGTATTTATTGTCTTGTTTTTTTCATCTGAGTTAAGGAGTTGACTGCAATATCATCATCTTCTATTTGAAAACATTTGTTTTTGTTGATGTTTTTGCCTATAGAGTAAAAATCTTCACAGCGTAATCTTCTTTCTGTCTCTGTTTCAGACTCTTCCCCAGTTCTCGGGGAGAGCCAGGATGAAGTAATGCGGAGGCGTCATGGGGACAAAGAGGTAAACTTTTTTAAACTTAAGCCAAACTTTCCTAAATAACACCCCATTCAAAAGAGCTGTGTTATGAATGAGGAAATCATTTATTATACATAACAAAGAGTGTGTCTAATGAATAAAAGAGCAGAGGAGACCCATATCTGCAGGGAACAAACACTTCCGTCTGGTTTCCTGACAGAAAATCTTGGAGGAGCAGCGGCGGCTGAAGCGGGAACAGGAAGAGGCCGACACGGCGTCAAGACGACACACAGGCAATGTCCCGACGCACCACCAGTTCATCACCAACGAGCGCTTCGGTGACCTGCTCAACATCACAGATAACACGGAGAAGAGGAAATCAGGCGTAGAGGTACAATGCAGGGCCGTCTCTTATCTTTGTGTAAGCAGGAAAAAAGCAGCAGATGCTTTGTCAGTTTGCGTGTGAGTCAGGGTGTGGGGGGTTGACAGAGGGGTTCCTACAGACACAGATGGCTTTCTCTTCTGGGTCAAAAACTCACAGGCAGGAGAGCAGTGATGGAAACCAAAATATGAGTTGGTGAATTTATCACTAAATATCCAGACTACACACTGTTTACCAGATACATATCTTAGCTGTTTCTTTTTTTTTAAAACCTTGATTTAGTCCTCACCATTGAGATTGTGTTTTACATTGTCCCCAATATTTTCCAAAAAATCAAATACAGCTTCAACATGAGACAGTAAAGTCCATTTCATGAACACTTCAATATCCCCTGTATTTAGTTTTTAGTACATAGATTATCTGCCTCGTGCAACATCGTCAGAATGTAGTGACAGCTTTGGTCATACAGTATATGTCCAAAAAGCTTTATTAAAGTTACAAACTGCAGCTTAAATGTACCGTTTGGGAGATAAAAAGACAAATGTCTGCCTTTTGCACATAAAAAGTACTCTCTACTCTATTTTTCTATTTCCATGTCACTGGTATCAGTTGCAACCTTGTTGTGTTTACTGAGGTGTGCCTGCTCCCTTGGCAGACCGGCCTCACAGTAAACAACCCCCGGTAGTTTCTTACTGGGCATGCTCCAGAGGACAAGTAACCCAGTCAGTCACAAGCACCTCATTCCTGTGCCCCGTGAGAATATGAATGTTCTCACGGGGCACAGGAAGGACAACTGAGGCAGATTTACAGCTCACAACACATTCCTTGAAAATATTTTCCCAATACACAAACATCATAGTATAGTTACCAAAAAGTGACAAAGATGTAATGGAATAATAGGGTTCAGTCTTTAAACTGACTTTACGATTTTAACAATAGAATCTGCAGGTATGATGTTGGACATTTTAAGTGAGTGAATAATTTTTATTATATATCTTTTCAGAGAACTCCAGCTATGGCTCGCTTCGACTTCAGAGCTGAAACTCTAAAGTGAGTAATCTTTTAAGAGCCTCACGAAAAATGTTTTTGTTGCAGAGATGTTGAGTGTCATTGCATGACGACTAAAGGTATTTAAGATGCTGCTATTATATGAGCATCTTTAGTAGATTTTACAATTGTGCAGACCTTGCTGAAATAATGATTGTCTTGTATTCAAATGTATCTTATAGGCGGGGTTACATCTGACAAAACTATGCCAGATCATACAATCGCAGGAAAACACTGTTCAGCAGCATAGTAGAATCATAATCACCAAACTCAGAAGAACTCCAGAAAAGCCGCAGAGTGCAATGCACACAAACTTGCTTGCGTGATGTCTTTTGAATAGCGATTGGTTTATATGTGGGCCAATCAAAGATGTTCTATATAACACGTGTTTGAGGTATATATGTATTGGATTTGCCTTAGTATCTATGTAGCATCAAAGTGCAAATACGACGCCGGGACTGCTGCATTTTTACGTAAAACTGTATGGTACTTTTTTCATTACACGTGACTAACTAATCTCTTTGGAACATTTCTAGGGAGTTACCGTTTCAGAAGGGAGACATCATCTTCATTATTCGACAGGTGGATCAAAACTGGTATGAAGGGGAACACCACGGAAGAGTTGGCATTTTCCCTCAGAGTTACGTAGAGGTATGTAAGAAGAGCAACTACGTTTTTTAAATAGTGTTTCTCTCAGTTCATCATTAACATTTATTTCACCATAGATATCATTTGTATTACCCGATTGCAGTGTTGGAGATGTCTTGCATAATCACTCTGCTGCACAATGTGTTCTCTTCTGATTTTCTTACTCAGTAATCACTTGCGTTATTTCTTGCTTTCTTCAGCTCCTTCCCCCCACAGAGAAGGCCCAGCCAAAGAAGAGTGCCCAAGTGCAGGTACTGGAATACGGAGAGGCTCTCGCACGCTTCAACTTCAACGGGGACACGGTGGTGGAAATGTCTTTCAGAAAGGTATGGAGGGGGGAAGAAGAGCAATCAGAAACAAATTTAAGGAACTTTCAGGATTTTTGTATACATCTAGATGCTTTTATCCTTTGTTACTCATGTTTCTCAACCAACAAATATGCGCCTGCAGGGGGAGAGGATCACGCTGATTCGCAGAGTTGATGAAAACTGGTATGAAGGGAAAATCGCTGGCACCAACCGCCAAGGCATCTTCCCCGTCACATACGTAGAAGTGAACAAACGACCCCGCATCAAAAATGGCGTGGACTACCTGGACCCTCCTGTCAGCCAGTCGCCACAGCGCAGCCTGAATGCTTCCCCTCAGGTAAGGAACCCTACGGGTACATTAAGAGTGGGAATCAAATCTGTAAATCTGTGAATTCTCTTCTATGTTCACCATGACCCCCCCTTTTAATTTAAATATTTGTTCACCTTCCGTTTCCTTTTCTTCCTCTCATCCCCTCTTCGTTTCCATCTCCTCCAACGTTGCTCTTATAAGCTGTACCGTAATCGTCTGACCACCTCCCCCCTGCCCCTCCCTCGCTCCCCCCGCCGCTCTGTGTCCCCCGAGGTCCACGCTATCTCCTCTGAGTGGATCTCCCTGACTGTGGGAGGCGGGAGCCCCCCCGCCGCACCCACCCCTCCCCTGCCGCCGCTGCCCACCGTGTCATATCGCTGCGGCGAGTACCTGCCCCCGCCCTACTCCGCCAGCCCTGTGCCCCTCATCAGCGGCAGCCCATACGGTATCTCACCCATGGCCTCCCCATCCGCCTCCCCTCTCCCCCCGCCTTACCCGCCCAGACCCAACTCCACCACTCCCTTCCTCACGTTCACCCCGCCTCAGGGGGAGGACTTTCTTCGCTTCCGTCCCAGCATGAGCCCCTGCGGAGGGCCGGTGCTGGAGGGCTGGTTGAGGGGGGAGAAGGAGTTGACAGAGGGGGAAGGCACAGAGGGGGACAGGGGCCACGCAGCCCCGGGCAGCAGGCGAAATAGCCCTGCAGAGGTATCTTCCGCATGGTGTGCAGTGTTGCATCATGGGCTTTGGCCACAGTGTAATTCTCTAATAAGATGTTTGATGAAGTACTGAAGCTGATATCTGTGTGTGGAAATTGGACTAACTCTTAGATGTAACCAGAAGTTGATTTTAGGATGAATATGGAGACAGAATAAGCACACGGCTTAAAGCTGCAAGTCTGCATGTTGTTGTTATGGAGTGTTCACTACTAACATGCAAGTGTTTTACAGTTTCTTTCAGTGTTTATATAGTACGTTTTAGGTTTCTTAGCTATAAGAGGAATGTAATGGGAGCTATTTTTCTGGCATTAAAAGGATTTATTTGAGAGCTCAAGTGTCTTCCTCTTCATAAAATCCAGTCTTTGGTTGCATGTTGTTGTTGTGCCTTGAAGAGGTGTGATGCCATTGGAGTTTGGAAGTTTATTTAGGACAGTGACATATTTATTAGTTAGTATTTATAGGTTTCACATGTTAGCTTGTGTTTCAAAAGCTGCTGCGAGGTTGAAATGTTCACCTACAATGCAACCTGACTGTAACCTCAAGTATGATGATGTTTACAGCAGGTGGATACATGGTGCGGAGCTTTAGAGGAAACCTTTTATTTTGTAATGTCCTTGCTGATTTGACTTATTTTGTGTTGCAGTTTGTGAGGAATGAGGCTGAACATCATGGACGCAGCTCCAGAAGCCCTGTGATGCTGTTTGACATCCAAGACAACAACAATGTCAACTCGTTAGCGGTAAGGCGGAGCAGTTTTCTTAGACCTCTACTGTAGATTTACAAAAGTATTTTATAGTTTGCTAAATGACTTCATAATCTGTATAATAACCTTTTAACCCATCACCTTTCATATAACTCATATCATCCTTAACTTTCATTATGTCGTCTTCATTTTGTATTTCAGTACAAAGCTGGAAGTAGTGGTTAGCTTAGCATAACTGAAAACAGGGATACAGCTAACCTTGCTTTTGTCCATATTTTATAGAATTCAACTATCAGTGCCACTATAGTTTTGAAATTATCATAACATGTTCATTGGTTTTCTGTTTGTTTATTTTTACAAAAAACATTGGATTTGGAGGTTAACTGGTACACACCTAAACATGAAAGACCCTAGAAGGGTCTTAAAAGTGACTTAGTTTGCAATATTGGCACTCACCAAACACACAACTCCCTGTTAAACTGCAAATCGTTACAGTACTTCACATTCTTTCCACCAGTTTTCAGTCTTTATGCTAAGCTCATCTAACTGGCTATTCATTTGAGCTTCATATTGAATGGACAGACAAAGTTTCCATGAGTATATTTACCCAAGCTATTTCCTGTTAGCTGTACCTATCACCTTCCCCCTAACACTGCATGTTCGTAATGAATGGTATCCTGTAAAAAAGTGAACTAATATTTCATGTTTCCTGTCTACATGCTCTTTTCATGCCTCTCCTCCTGGGCTCCACCAACGTCTCCTCTGCTTTCTCTCCCGGGTTTTAACGGATCACTTCCTTTTCTGCCTTGCTACTTACTGGGCCTACCTTCCTGTCTCGCCCTTCGCCCCCCCATCCCTCCCCCCCTCTCTAACTCCTCACTTCCCCCACCTCGGGGGCCTCCTAACTGGACTCCTTTGGGGCCGCTGTCTGTCTTTCTCTGACGACTTCACCTACTAGGAGGCAGTGTGTAATGAGATCTTGAATATAGCTGAGACCTCGGTGAGGTATTGCAGCAACCTGTCCCACCACCCTCATGACTCTGTCAATCGACTGCACCCCCACCCCAGTAAACAATCTCTCATCATTTCCCAGCAACCCCTGTCCCACAGCAGCAGCCCGGAGCCCAACCGTCTGAGCTGTGGAATGTGAGTACATCTGTATTTCACTTACACAACATGTTTCTTTTTGTTATTTAATTTCAGTTTTTACATTTTATGATTTGTCATATTTGCAACATGTTTCCTTGCGTCCTGCTCCAGTTTCCAGGCCCTGTACAGTTACGTTCCTCAGAATGAAGACGAGCTGGAGCTGCATGAGGGAGATCTCGTCAGCGTCATGGAGAAGTGCGATGACGGTTGGTTTGTCGGTATGTGCCTGCAGGCCCTCGGGAAACATTCCTCAGAGACGCAGTTACACTCGCTGTGTCACATTAATCTGTATAGGGTTTCTGCTGAATGACAGCAAAGGACTGTACACGTGCTATGTGCATGCTCAGGGCAGAAGTAGAGTCGTTTACACCATGTCACATCCTTCCATATAGGGTTTCTAGAGAATGACAGCACAGGATTGAGTGCAATGTACATAAGGCTTTGCACTTAATTTTAGATATGCCTAAAGCAACCAAAGGAACTTTTATTTTGTTTTGATCTTGACTCCCCCTGTGTTCAAAATCAGAAGTGTTTTCTCTGGATGTGTCGTTAAGATCTTCATCTGGTGACATATTACATACCAGTCTAGTGGAAAAAAGACATGGTTCTGAATCCTTCCAAATCCCAATTTTCTCCATCTGTTTTCTCTCATGGTCCCCTTTTTTGTATCTCTGCTGATTCTGTCCCAGTAACAGCCATAACCAAAATATATAATGTCAAAAATAAGAATCCCTAATGAAAAATCTCCTCCTGCTTCCTTTTAAAGGGGACTAATTTAACCTTTTGGGGTTTACCCTTTCCTGTAGTGTGTTAAATAGGTTGTTATGCATGTAAATGGTCTGCAAAGGCTATAATCCTACAGATTTCTCTCCATAGAGGGTGAAAAGAGGTGCTGCAACACAGGCCGTATTTGAAAAATAAAGAGCTTTTCACATTAAAGCATGAGACATGTCACAATAGAAGCACAACATACAATAATAAAGCTGAACATTAGCATAATAGGGTAACTGGTAATGTATTGCTCTCTATAAACTGACCCAGTGACAGGCGTTTAGAATATCTGAATAGAAGTAGCCAATCTTCTTGCTGATGATCTTGTTAGCTTGTGTTGGTCATATAGACAGACATCAGTGTTCAATTGATACTGTATAATAACCAGTTTAAACGTTTTTTTAATTTAATCTGAGAAAAATATCCTTTGACTATCTTTTGCCTGACCCATGTTTCTCTTTCTTTTTCTCTCCAGGTACCTCAAAGAGGACGAAACTGTTTGGGACTTTCCCCGGGAATTACGTGAAGGAGGTGAAACTGTAAAGATGTTGGCTGTAACACATGGTGGCCTGTGAAGCTTTGGAAGTCATTACTATCGCGCATGGCTGTTGGTTAGCAAAGTCATTTAGCCGGGCGAATCCATTTTGTCTGGGAAAGTGATCGGTTCGGCCTGAGGTATGTCAGACTGTGGGGGGGCGGAGAGAGAGGCCGCTCACTGCCTAGACCTCAGCACGGTGTACACCTTGAGCACAATTTACACACTTCTTGACAGAAATCGTCCATCTCCACATGCGGAATTTCTCCGTGAAAATCTACCACAAAGTAGCTTTTATTGTACAGATAATAGCTTCCATGTTGTCCATGTAATCTACAGTACGAGTGTTCACGTAGCACGTCAGTCCGGAGGCCGGCAGCAGAGCAGAGTATGGATTAAAGAGTGGATCTTATTTCATGAACGCAACTTGGGAGGATTCAGAATGTAATTTTATGGGACGTGTGTTTGGAGCTGTTTGTCATGAGCTACCTTTCAGGAACAGAGGCGTTTATTATGATTAGCTAAGTACAAACCATGCCTCTGCTTCCAGAAGAAAACCTACAGTGTTTGGATCAATATATGTATGAATTTGATATACGTGTCCAACAGGAAATGTTACTTTAGATCTGAGAAAATGACTTAAAATGAGTGTCCTCTTGAAGTTTAAATAATCAGCCTTGTGTTTGATGACCTTTTACTTTCTGTTACATTTCATGAATCATCAAGAAGTCAGTATTTTCAGAACATCTCAATCATTACAACTCGGTGTAACCTTAAGCTATAGATACCAGTTCAGTATTGCCTTTATTTTCTATTTAAAGGTTGTTATATATTACGATTAATACTTCTCTTTTTCCAAGTAACCACAGCAAACACAAATACAGGACTGTGTTGCATGTCTGATAAAAGTGAAGAGATTTATGTGCACATCCTATATTTTCAGAATCTATTTATTTGTCATTTAATAGAGGTGTTTGCTGATGGGTGAAGCCTGTAAGGTAGCTGGTGGTAAACGCTTTGCTCCAGCGCAACAACAGACAGGCGTGGTAGTACTTAACTTCCTGTTTGGTCATTTAGGGAGATTCCACCGAACAACATAATAGTAGATTAATCACAAAAAGAACTAAATCATGTTTTAAGTAAAGCCAAAAAGGTGTCTTAGAAAATAAAAATACTGATTTTTTTTTAAGCATTTTCAGATTTTAACCATGCCCTTACTGACGAGATTGTATGTTTTAGCCATGTAAATGTGTACAGAAAACTTTAAGAGGCCTTCCAAATATGGCTACATATTTTCATATGTTATGACTTGGATACAGTTAGTGGAATGATTTAAATAATAAGGTCAGCATGCACTGTATAAATCCATCAAATTGGAGCATGAAACACTCAGCCATCGCCTGAATGTTAGCCACCGTTAGCTTAAAGCAAACAGCAGTGATGACAGGGTTGACTGTCTGCTCTCTGAGCTTCAATAACTCCCTGTTGGAAGATGGCTTTGAGTTCTGCTATCAGAGCATCAGAGCCGTCTTCCTGCGAGAACAGAGCTCCCACATCTCCTGCACCATCACGTCCCTTAACAAACGCCACATGTCAGAATAGATCCTCTACACGCACAGATGGAAAGATGATAGCCATTGTTTTTCTCTGCTCCTGTTTTCATCAAATTCCTTGTTGTAGTCAACCGCTGCACTGTGCTCATCAATCTCTAGCAGAGCTGTCAAATAGCACTTGCAAATAAGTCTTAGCACGCGTTACGACCTGCTCAGGCTTGCGGAGGGATGCAGTTTGTATGGTGATTGCTAAGTGTTATTTTAAAGGGAAAGTTCACCCCAAAATCCTAAAATGCAGGTTTTTCCTCCTACCTGTAATGCTTTTTACTGTATCAATCTAGATGGTTTTGGGGCTAGAGTTGGAAACATTACCTGTAAAGATGTCTGCCTTCTCTCCAATATAATCGAGAGAGAGATGGCACGCTTGTGGTGCTAAAAGTGCCCAAAAACTCAAAAGCAAGGTATCTTTCCAAAAAGCTGGACCCGGTTACTCAAGATAATCTAAAGACCTTGTAGTTTCATATAGGAACTATTTTCTTTCTATCGTATCACTACGCCTGCCTCTATTAATGGACGATTCACGATTCATTCTCTCATCCAAGCTAGCTAACTTTATAGCTTAGCCAAAGAAGATGCCATTATGTTTACTTTTCAGGCTAGCTTCCTGCTTCCTTCTGCGTGGCGACACGGTTATTGGGTGTAGTTTGGTAGAAAGAAAGTAGTTCCTTCATGAAACTGCTCCAAATAAGGACTGTGGATAATCTTGAGTAGCAAAGACAGGATACATTACGTCTGATGTTTTCTATTTTATTTTTCTGGCACTTTGAGCGCCACAAGAGTGCCGTCGAGTTCTGTTATTTAGGGAAAAGGCAGACATCTTTACGGTCGAAATCTGCATCACTCCGCATCTCACAAACTCTACATTTGAAATGATGAATAGCATTACAGTTAAGGGAGATAAAATGTATTTTTTATTTTTGAGTGAACTGTCCCTTTAAAGACAGTTTTAGACTGAAGTCGGATCATTTCCCCAATCCACACATGTCTAATTAAACAGTGCCAGACTATCAGAAGGCCTTCCTTTTTAGTGTAATGTGAAGTTTTGAAAGATAAAACAGTAGCTCTCACTAAATCTAAAAGTGTATGTTTACTATATCTTTGTTTTTTTTTTAAATTATGTTTTGGCTACAGTTGTGCAGCAATGATAAACATTGACCTGATTGGAACATGGTTTGAAGCTGTTTGTGGCTACCATAAGTGATACATGAAGTTTAACAATTGACAAAGTGCATTAATTTAAAATGTAAAATGTAAATGTAGTTGCAATCAGTGTTTGCTGTTGAGACAAATTAAGGAGTTTCTTCCTGTCACCACTGACAATTTTGCCAACAATAGCAAAGGAATGTTTTCTCAAGAGAATACGCTGCATTATGGGTTTGCCTGTATAGCACTGATATCATATTCAGGTATTTTGTTACACCACAAAGCATGTTTTTCCCTCCACTGCTGGCTAAACATTCTTGTTCCTGTGTAACTCCGGCCCAGCATGAATGTGTTAAAGAAACAAACTATCTGATGGATTGATATACATTTATTCACAACACAACTCACTCTAGATTGTCTCGTGCTCCAGAAAACCTCACAGGATGTATGAATGTATGAATATATGAATGTGGCTCAATGCATACATATGTAAAAATGCAGACTATTAGGCAGCATGGCACACAAAGGATTGTAAATATGTAAAATAAAAAAAGGACTGCTGTCACTTGCAGCGGTTTATTTACCAGAAGGATTTTTTTGCTAAAGCACAGAGTGGAGCATTACCGAGCACAGGAAGTTTGACGCATATGAACATTACGCTGCCATTTGTGACGATCATAATGCCTTATGTTAGATGCGAAATTGTGCCTCATTTTCATTCATTTCTGTGGGAGTATCACTGAAATGTATTCATGACATATTTAATGTAACCATGGTTTTCCCATTAGTCCTAGTCTCTGTGATGGGAGAACATTTTGCTAAGAATTTGTACTGTGCAAGTACCTAAAAGTGTGACACAATGCTTAAACGTAATGATTAATAATCATAAGAATGGACTAGTTTGAGATGCACAACCTGCAACAGGTTTGGTTTGTTTGCTTCATTTTGCAGTGCTGTTACATTGACAATATTAAAATAAACTATACACTGCTGTGACTTCGGTATTATGCAATATTTAATAAACCGTTTAAACCATTTGGTGTGTTGCCTGTTTTGATTTCCAGAAAGATCTGAATGATATCAGAGGTAGAGGTACATTTAAAGTTCTTTTTGCATATAAATGCTCATGGTGTTAAGTCATGCAGCAGTATAACAGTTTATGAGCATGTAAAGACACATTCTCTGTGGCTGTGTAATGAACAGACGCACATTCATGTGAGCTTAAGGTGGAGCTGTAATGTTCTTTTGTTCAAGGGCGAAATAAGCTTGTAATAGATGTTAGAGGATTCCTTCTGCATTGTCAGTACATAAATACTTATGGCATTTTTATTTTTGTCAGATGGGTAACATCCCATTAGTGTGTTGATGTTGACAGCTGTGTTTGTACAGCCATAACAGATAGACAAGATACTTTTCTTTTGACTTGATCTTATGCATTGTTAAGTGCTTCACTTTAAAGCCCTACAGTCTGCAGTGGCTGCCCTAAGGCCTGTTAAAGGTGCAAGGACAGCCCACAAGAGAGGACGTGTTTCATTCGGTCAGGACTTTTTCTCTCCACTTTCAACAGAGATCCTCTGGCAGGAATTCAAGTTTTGGGAGCGGCACATTCCACATCCTGGGATTTAGCTCTACCATAAATGGTAAGCTTGCATATAAACACGGTGACGTACCGGCAGGCCGACATCCCTAAAACAAACACAGGAGCTCATCTGAGAGGAGAAAATCGTGGAGAGGGATCACTCTGCTCCAATATTAGTTTATTTTCATTGAGGTGAAAAGTATAACATATAATGGCATATTTTCAAAGCACTTAAAGTAAGTATTCAAACCAAAGTGTGTGTACTCGCCCTGTGTTACTTTGAATTTGTGAAGAAACATGTTGTTTTTCTCGCATTGTTTCACGGAGGAGGAATAACAAATGAAATGAAAATACTTAAATAATACATTTAAGTATATCGGGGACGCAATTAACAACAGAAAAAAAACGTAATCAACACATCTGTTTACAAAGTTATATACGTTGTTCAGTACAATTCAAGTCATTTGAACACTTCTTTTCAAATACATGCATTTAAGCTTTGGAAACACAGCTCCCAAATGGCCGTTTTGGTAGTGAATATTTATTTAAGCTCCATTAAGATATTATTTAAGTGATGGTCATATACTGTAAGAACTTAAAACATTTATTTCCGTTCTTAACCATGTTTCAAATGATTGCTGAATTATTGTGTAATTTGCTGGTTTGGGGTCAGTTTGAGAAAAAAAATGTTTCTAATTCCAAATGAGGCTATTCAACTACAGCTCAGCATTAAAATACAAACTATTGTGGGTGAAAAATGTGTTCAAAACAAAGTTTCAAAATAATGTGTGCGCCTGTTAATAACAGATGTCTGGTGTTGATGTGCCAGTGTTTTCTCGACACACATTGATTTTTTTTAATCAAGTGATAACACACAGGAGTCCTTACAAAAACAATGGGGAAGAGGGGGGGAAGATAACATTTTCTCTCCTGTTTTTTATTTTATCAGGACAGAACAAAAACAAAGGTCTGAGGCATTTTTGATTGTGTGTGTGAATTAAGAACATGTTATTCTTAATGTTAGGGATAAGTCAGACTTTAACCTATTTTCTTGTTGTAAATAAATGCCAAGAATAGACCAAAACCAACAATGCAGTTTGTCTCTCTTTCTGGCTTTGCTCTCCGCTCTTCGATGTTTAACTTCAAAATGTATTGTTACGTTTTTATTTATTTTTAAAACTACCAAAATACCTTAATTCAGCTGGGCACTGCAGTTTTTTAGCTAATGTTACTCAAACAGGAGTGTGTTTTTGGTTTATTGGACCCTATTTTAGATGCAGTCCTGAAGATTAACACTCAATTAAATATTTACAGCAGCAGTCATTTGTATGTGGGACTGACTCCAAAAAACAAACAGTGCCCAAGTGTATTGTTTTAAGGGAACATTAACACCCAGTGCAACTCATTTATGAGTTTTTAATAGTGTTTGGCCCAGAGGAATACACTTTATTTGGCCATGGGTACATATTATAAGGATTAAGTCATTGCTAGATGTAGTCTTTTAAGACAAATGGATGGTTATATAAAGGTTGCTGCTGTTCTTGGGGCTCTTTCTCCCACTAGGACAAAATCACCTGACTTCCCTGAAAGTCTGGTCAGTGCCCCATAGACAATATGGAGTGATCCATTTTCTTAATACACGATCTGTGTACTCTCACTTATCAGCGTGGAAACTTCAAAATCTATTCGTCGGACTGTAACCTGAGGGTCCACCTCCTCTGATGCTGCGGCTCTAACTCTGCCTATCGATCATTGCACATGTCATATGCTGTAGGAAGTGAACTGGTGGTCTGAGGCATAGCTTTAAACACCGTAACGACTCGGTTAAAAACTTAAATTAACGGTATGCCTCTCCGGGTAGTCGTGAAGGGGCCTGGACCCTGGGGCTTTAGGCTGGTTGGCGGTAAGGACTTCGAGCAGCCCCTGACTATTTCCCGGGTAAGTGTTAGCTGCTCCTTCATAACCACACCTGGGTTTGTGCCGACAAAAGGTCTCACCTCGCGCTGTGTCCTCTCGAGGACACACTGCTATTTAAAGTTAGCTGGTGTTAACAAAAGGCTAACGTTACTTCATAGAGAATAAACTAATGTCACACATGTAGCTAACGTGAATTAGTGTTAGTGTCGGCATGTTGTACTTTCAGCTACTGAAATTAATGACTTTGCAGCGTTTTAATTCGAGCACTTGTTGTAGCTTTATTTCCCTATTTCAGTTACAATGTTATTTGAGATATCTTTTTTCGGTTGCTGGTGAATTATGTTTTTTTTATACGTTACTTAACTGTAAACTTAAATGTATGCTACAAGTTAAACAACACTGTAGTGTAAGTATACCGTTACCGTTATTTCATAGTGTCTGCAGACTTTCTGATAACTTTCAGCTGTCATAATTCTTTTAAAAGTCATAATTTCAAAGTAAAAGCATTATGTTGGTGAAAGAATCTGTTATTTTTGACATCCCTGAGTGTCCCTGAACGCCTCTTCGAGCTTTTTCAACCCAATTGTGTTACTTCACAACAGAACTTAAATGCAAATCTTTATTACACATCCTACAGTCCTGTGTCAGTAGTGGCTCAGAGTATGAGCCTCCTCTGTGTACTTCGCCTGAGTGTCGGCTGCTGTTCCTGTTGTAAATGTTGTTACCGTGGTCGCTACACTCCTCCCATGGAAAAGTGATTAGGAATTCCTGGACTGTGCTGGAATCTCCCTCTGCTTCATGCTGTTTTCTATCTGAAACACCTCTGCGACTGTCTGTGTTTACTGTACATAATGAGATGTGTGTGAAGGTCAGAGTTAAACTATGTACGATTTAAACTCTGATTAGAAAATAAGATTTCAGACTATAAAGTTATATCTGACTGACTGTACAGTGAATCAAAGGTGTGGTTTACACCTATTCATGATTCAAGATATGTATTGCTTAAGTGGTGTTATTTCTATATATTTCTTTAAAAAATAAAAGTACTATCTCGAATCATCACATAGGGTTGTAGCCAACCATGATTTTCATTATCAATTAGTTTACACATTTTATTTTTGCCGAAATATTATCGCTGGCTCTATAAAACATCAATAAATTAATACATTTCCATCCTGTTTTCTCAAAATCTAAGTTGATATCTTTACATGTCGTATGATATAAAACATTGAAAAGCAGAACATCTCCATATTAAGTGGCTAAAAACAGCATTTTACTTTAAGGATGAATAGATTGTCAAAAAAGTTGGTGCTATTATCTTTTTGTTGACCTATCATTTGATTTATTGTTGCAGTTCCAGGGTTAAGTATGCCAGCTTCCATACAGCCCTAAAATAGTTGTGTTTTCCTATCATGAATCATGTCTCCTGTGTTGTAGGTCACCCCAGGGAGTAAAGCTGCCCAGGCCAACCTGTGTATTGGAGACATGATCCTGGCGATCGACGGAGAACCAACTGAGCCCATGACTCACTTGGCGGCGCAGAACAAGATCAAGGGTTGCATCGAGGAGATGGTGCTCTCCGTAGACAGGTGGGCCGTAGCTACATGTGCCAGTCTGATCTGCATAGCCGCGGGCCTGAAAAACCCTGAGTAATACGAGACAGCAGCCATCCAGGTGTTCAGGGAGTGACGTGATGATTATTCATCCTTCTTAAGTCTCTCTTTTGTTGCACTTGAGTTTGAGAAGTGTGTGTATGCTAAGCTGTGTTGTAAATCTGCGCTGTGTCAATCCATGACATCATACCATGATTTCAAGTAGCAGAGGTACTGGGCAGGTTGAAACAAATATGTTTGTTCAAATTAAGAGGGAATGTGTTGAATGCAGGGTTGGGTGAACTGTCAGAGCTAAATGATAAACATGCAAAGGGTCTGTTGCATTCAAATACACAGGCATGGTATGTTTCTGTGCAGCTACACAGGTAACAAAAGGTAAGTTGTTGCATTTAAAGCTATTGTAAGGTAATGTTGTGATCTTGTCCTTCCTCTTTTCTGCAGGTCAGAAACTAAATTGTGGTCCCCGCTTTCATCTGAGGAAGGGAGATCACATCCGTACAAGATGAATCTGGCAGCAGAGCCAAAGGTGTGTGTCCACCATCTCAACATCAAGCAGAATCGTCTTTTAATACCTCGTTAATTCAGCCTGTAACTTGAATCTCTACAGGTAGCCATAGAGTTTCTGGAAGCCTGCACGTTCATTTCCCACCGCGCCCACAGAACCTTGTGGGTTGATTTTCTTTTTTCTTTTCTTTTATACTTCCAGTGATGAAGTCATTGTTTACTTCCCAACAGGAGGTTTCCTAGGAGACGGTAGTTTATCTGCCAACTCTGACGCAAGCCTCAGTTCCTGCCCACTGAGCGGAAAGTTGCGGCCAAAGTGTGAATTCATGTCGGCCGTGTGTGTGTGTGTGTGTGTGTCACAGGTCACAGATGTTTTTTCTCACTCCACATGTTTGGAAAGCTTGTTTGGAGTCTGTCACTTCA